GCTCGCAGGGGCGTGCGTGGCGGCCGGAGGGCGCGGTCCCTCGTGGGTGCTCGGACCGCCTGGGCGTGTAACGCCTTGTCCTGGTGAGGGGAACCCCCACGGATTGAGCTCCTCTTCGGGACGGCGGGGAGAGGACTGGCAGCAGATGTACGGCAGAGAAATAGAGCAAGCATAATGGGAGAAACTTTCAGGGCAAAATGAATTTTGCGTTGATGAAATATTTTAATTGGGTAGTGGGCATCGATGCTGTATCTGTGCTGTTACCAGCAATGCGATACACTTCCCTCTGATTAACAGCCTTGCTTTTTTGTTTTCATCAAACTAAGAGCACGGGGGTGAGTTACTTTGAGAAAAGGTTTTGCTCTTAAAGTGGCTGGTCTGCTTTGCTTCTGCGAAGGAGCTCCATGCTCTCTCAGGTTGCACAGCTCCATGTTACTGACTTTATCTGAATTTGGGAGCACTGCTATATAGTCCCCAAAGCGAGAAGAGGCACTCATGTGACAGGGAGTGCTGCCTGTCCGTGTGCATGTGTGTGTACAGAGATTGGGAATACGTGGAGATGGGAATTTAGCGTTGCAAACAGAAAGCTACAAAGCAATTGCCTTTGCAGCTCTCATGGTCAAGTCTGTTCAAGAAGCCAAATGACTGGAGCGTTTTCCTAGATTGTATGAAGACACTAAATGCTGTGTTTTCAGGGGTGCAACACTTGATTTAAAAAGCCAATAAATAAGAAGAAAATGTGAAGCTGGACTACTATATGTGTCTGTCATTCTTGAGGCTTACAAATAAAAACTTTGTGTTCCGCCCAGCTTTTACTGTAGTTTTCCTTTCGTAACCTCCTCCTCCTGCCATTATAGCAGCACTTGATAATGAGACCACTCGCCATACTATCAGAGAAGCAGAGGCAGAATAGTTGTCCAGGCAAAGGGCTGGCTTCGGCGCATCAGAAGAGACCCTTCCAAGTGAAGGTGGCTCCACACTGATGTATCACTCTGTGCTGTTGGATTGCACGCACTTTTTCATCTGCCTCAACAATGTCATAACGCCATGAATACAGCAGTGCAGTTTAGCCTGTCCTGAACTTGCAGAGTGATCTAGTGAACACTACTTTCGCCTTAATTGTATGCGTCTTGTTGTCTCATTGTTTGAATTGTTGAGATTTAGGGCCTAGTCCATTAACTGCTATCTGTAAATACCTGCGAGGTTTGTATGAATTCCCTGTATGGGCTATGTGTAAGACTAGGTCCTTTAGTTTGGTTAACAGAACAGAGTTGAGCTCTTTTTGGAACTGATGATGTTTGTTTTTCAAACTCAGAAGAAAATTATAGTGCTTATCATTCTCCTAAAAACTTTATAAATGCTCCACAGTCCCTGTGATTCCCCTGCTTGTTATACTTGAAAAGAATAGTAAGAAACAGGAAAACAGTGATTTGCTCAAGGTTTTAGAATTTACCTGTGCCAAAGCTTTAGCTTAGAATCTAAGAATTTCTTGGCTTTATCTCTGTCCTCCAGCCATGAGAAACAGTGCCTTTCTTTCACCTTTGAAGTACAAAATTATGTTTAGATATGTTCCGGTAATTATGAAATGCACCAAGAGAAAAAACGTTAGATTGTATGACCCTTCATTCTCCTTCCCAACCCAACTCTCCATTCGTAAATTCTTTTTTAGTGAAATGCAACTATAACTGTGCATTTGTGTGTATTTCTTTCAGATTTGCAACCAACATAATGCTGAAGCTCCCAACTTGGAACAAGCATTTCACAGAATGGCACAAACAGAACCTAATCTGGACCATGACGTGTCATGGTTCCTCCTTCCGTCATACTGGGCTAAAATGGTCGTGGCATTAATTTCCTTCCTCTGTTTTGCTAACAGCTATGACGGAGAATTTGTCTTTGATGATTCTGAAGCCATCATCAATAATAAGGTTTGTCTCTCTTCTTTCTCGCCGTGCCCTTTGATAGAAATGGTCATAGGAAAAGAAGGAATGACAACAGTTGATCTAAGTAGGCCCAAAATATTTATCCTAGTAAAGAGCTTCCTTCGGGTACTTGTTTTTTGAACTTCATTTTTCTGTTTTGTTCTATCGGGGTTTTTTAAAGTAAGCCTTATTTAAGGTTGACACCCAAACTGTGCAGCAGTGCTCTACTGAAAAGCGAGAAGTATAAGTGTGCTTAATGAAACCTGATTCCTAAAGCTATTTGAATAACATGACTTGGGTTCTAACACATAAAGAAAAGAGTGAAAAAATTAAACAGCTTTTTTTTTTTTGCCCCCCTCAGAATGTGTCCCCTTTCATTCTTTTGCAAGTGCGATGCTCTGCTTAACAAGTATTGATATCTGGTGAAGGGGACTCTTTTTGCCATACCAAATGGACTTTGTCCGCTTGTCATCTAAGAAAGCATTATCTAGGGTTGCAGCAAATTTGGATGTGATGTTTAGTAATGCGTATTCACAGGGTACCTGTACATCACGACTGCCTGTAGATCTAATTTTATGCTCATTTCTAAGTCAGTGAAAGTATGCAGTAGACTTTTCTAGTACTCGTTGATGTTAATGGGAGATTTTTTTCATTGTCTTCTCAGGGCGACAGATGAATAAGCCCAATGAATAAACTTACTCTGGTTGCAAGATCTCTAAGCGAATGTAGGGTGCAGGAGTTTTCCGACTGTGGTTCATACCATAAAAATGTTACAGGAGCAAGGAAAGCTTCCTTTTCCTATGCTCCTTCCCCACTTAAAGTTCCTGTGACAACAGTATTTTTTCAAAATAGAGGCAGAGTATTCTTGTGCTCTGTTTTACAACTGATCATACGTGCAAGGAACATCCTTGAAATGCTTAGAAATTAACATGTGACTTGAACAAACCTCTAGCTGAGATTCTTTTGACTTTGACTTTGAGGAGTTGAGTGTTTTCAATTGCAGAGACACTTCATAGAATCACACGTAGCAGTTAGTGAGCCTGTGCTCCTGGGTGGGTCTTGGTGTTACAGCTCTTGTGCTGTTCTGGAACGTATTTTTTAAATGTTTGGAAAGAGAAGCACAGGGTAGAAAGAATCACCCTCATCTGTTGGATCTGTTTTCCTGAAGCCATGAGGTTACAACGAGGATAATCTGGAGCCTCATACCGCTAGAAGTACGTAATTCGCTTTTTTTTTTTTGCCTTGCACAAGATTTAGAGGCAACTTATAGCAATATGCCTTTTAGAGTCCCACATAATGACTGTTTCCTTAGACAAATTTGTATTATGCTAGTGTAAGTCATCATACCTTGAGTTATAAATGTATGGGTGGAAAATACATCTGCCAAATTGGAAATAAATCTCAAAGCTTCTAGGAGAATACTATAGACAAGAATCTACAGTGATTTTTCTTTTTTTTTCTTTTTTTTTTTTTTTTTTTAAGAAGCATATTTTAAATTAGACAGCTCCTGGCAATGTTTCATTCTGCAAAGTTTTATTTGGGGCACAATTATAATATTTTAATTTCCTGAAAGAATGAGAAAAAGACTGATGGTGAAACAAGGCAGGTTGTTTTGTTCATGTGCAATTTCCACGCTTGCAATCTTTCTCCATTTCTTTCAGTCTTTACTTTCAAAATGTTTCAATTTATCTATGAAGCACAACAACCTGCAGCAGGATTATAGCTGTTGGCAGTGCTGAAAAGTTCAACCAACTGCTTAAATAGATTAATTCATACCTAGTCTGGATGTTTGAAAAACTGTGAGGCTCGTTCTATTTTTCACATCAAAATCCTCTATTATTCCCTAGAAATGAAATGAGATTTTTGTGACAGTATCATTTTAACACAGGGCTCATATGAATACATGGAAATACAAAATCCACAAGAAAAATGCAGACAATGAGTCTACCAGTTTAACGGGGAGGGACAGCATCTAGCAAAGGCTCAGTTTATTAAACAAAGTATAGCATATGTTATTCCTATTCAATAGGAGAGACAACAGGTGAAGTAGTTTCGTAGATTTACTGAGCATTACTATACCAGTATTTTCTTGAGTACCACACAGTGATCTTTTTGTTAATTTACTAGCTCCCACCACCACTCCAATGTTTCAATTTTTTTTGAACTAGCAGAAGATACGCTGTTAGTTGAGCCCATGCCTACCGTATCGTGGAACATTCTGTTACTAGGTTTTATTGGGGTTTAAAGCTGTTTTCCAGATGCTTTCTTGTCATTTTAAGCAGCAGTTTAACCGGTACACAACAGTGACTTTTGTCTTTGTCTTGCCAAGCTAGTAAATAAATAAATAGTTGGATTAGGAGGAACTTCGGACACAAACTGTCATTTCCATAAGCCTTTATGTAGAAAAACTGACCTTTCTTCAAGTATTGAACACTGCTCTCTGTAAGCTGCTGCTAATCAAATATTTAGAGATTCTTTGATAGCTACTTTCAGTTCTTAAAGAGAAAATCATACAGAACTTTTAAACAGCTGTGTCTCTTAGAGCAAACCATTCCTATTTTAGGGTAAGTCCACCGAGTGGAAAAATTAATGTAGGAAGCTTTTTCTCACCGAACTTGGATACAAGAGCAAGATACATGACTGGAGATTTTTAGGTCATGTGGAAGAGTAATCTAATCACAGAAGTTATTCCATGTATTCAGCTGTTCCCGCATTCTTCCTGTGGAAGACAAAAGAAGACTGATTCTAGCGGAAAGGGAAATCTAGCGTTGCACATCTCAAGTATATTTCCCATCTCAAGTTATTGAAGACCATCTGTGACATAGAAGACATGCTTTTAAAATTTGAATACTTAAAAAAAAAAAAAGTCTCTCTTTCATAGTCCTTTTCTTTGGCAAACATACGTCACGAGCAGTGCTGTTGGTTGGAAAAACAGTCTAAGGGCCGCAAGGCCTGCTAAGAGCTGTCCCCTGCGGAGTACAAGGACTTCAGTAGATGTTGGTGTACCAGCCAAGTCCCAACTTGTCCCTGGAAAAGCAGGCTATCTTGATTGGTGGTTGAGTGCCCTCCTGCTCTGAGAGTCAAATTATGACCTTTAGGGTTTGTCCATAGCAGTGAGGAATGGAACAGGAATTTAGGTGCCTAAGGCCAAAACTGCAGTCCTGGGAGAAGAAAGAAATTTGTAGCTATTGTTCGACAGTAGAAACATCTGTGTGAGAGCAAAGAAATTTTGCACCTTGGTAATTCTTAAGCCCAAACAGGATCCTCTGTGAGTCTTGATTTCTTAAGATTTTCCCTAGGAATGCCTTAATTGACAGCTGCAGTATAGGACTTTTCAAAACTACGGTGTTAGCCCTGCTCTCTTTTCTGCGTATTGGTTAGTAACCTATTAGAGAATGCTTGACTTCATTTGACAACATGCTAGGATATTTACCCCTTTGAATATTTTTTTTTTTAACCAGTTGTCTAACACTGGGCAAATTTGATGAAGTGAAAGAAATAAATCTCTGTCTGGGTTTTTTTGAGTTTTGGATGGATGAAAGTCAGAATGTGTTAAAAGAAAAATTGAGTTATTTTAAGTTCAGCTTAGCAGCAGCTAGTCGACATGGCCTAGACATTTGGCTGTACCTTGGGACTAGGAGTAGTATATGTTCTCTCTTGCCTTGTTGGCAGGCCAAAAATGCTAGCTAAGGATGAGATGGAAGGTACTGGAGACCACAGGAGGTGCTCACGATACTGTAGAAGCAAGCGAGATGGTAGCAGGATTTGAGAGGAACTGGAATTAGTGAACCAAGGGTATTGTAATGTGGGAATCTTGTAAGTAGATGGAGATAGAGGAGGAATAAGACATACGACACCAGGCTTTGTAAGACCTTTCGTGGGTTTAGCAAACTGGTTTGTCTGCTTACTTGTGTTTGTATTGGTATGCTAATCTGCTTTGGTTCGTTGATCTCTTGAACAATTTCAGGGGGGAAGATGGAGGGTAGAGTAACTTGTGGTTGATTGCAGATGTATTACCAGCAGTCGTATAAAAGCTGTTCATTTGCTAGTACCATTTTGTTCTTAGGTTCTGTCTTAAGTGTATTTAACCTGCACGTTTGCTATAGCATAAATTGATATTTGATTGCTGCAGGGAAGCAGAAGAGGGGCAAGTAGAAGATGAGTGTGTTAGTTTGAGCTTCCAAACTTGTCCTCACAGAAAACTGAGGTGGATGCTACCAAGGTCCTTATTTTTTTCTCTCCAAAGTGTACGTTTTCCATTCAATAGTCTAGGTTATTTGGATTTTTTAATTATCAGCATAGCTTTAACATAAAAGGAAAGAGTAGACTTTTCCTTTGCAGTGTTTGTTTTAATAGTCCCCTACCCCACCCCAAATTAAAGTAGTTCATTACTTCTGTCTTCTGCTATTAATCTTTTAGAGCAGTATGTGGAGATTTTGATTCTTAGTTTCATGTATTAAGAATTTAACAACAACAACAAAAAAACCTATGTGAATAGTGTCCTGTGCTAAGTAAGGCTTCAAAAAGAGCTAAATGTTGTTTACTATCTTTAGGCTCCTTGCTTTCATGCTTTCATTAGTAGTTGTCCTACTGACACTGGTAGAAAAATAGCTATTTGCAGCAGTTTGTAGTTGGTCTCCTTTGCAAGATAACCTACACCTAAAATCAAAGGGTTTTTACAAAACTAAGGTAAAGGTTTTTTTTGTGTTTCGTATCTCAGCTATTGACCAGATTATCAACTGATACAAATACACATAGCTCTACTAAATTACATGTAGTTATGCCTACTTACAGAATCCAAGCATCTTGAGCTTTATGATGACAGACATCTAAGATAAGATGTGACCTTCATTACAAACTTGGGTACCTTGTCAAATATTAGTAGTGAGCCAACAGAACACCTGCTATGTCCATATTAGCGTGAGCTTGTATTAGTTAGAACTTGTTTGTGTTTTTGCTGCTTTGAACATGTTAAGAATGTGAAATGTTAAGAATCTGGTAATTTATGATGTTTCATTTCAGGACCTCAGGGCAGAAACCCCACTTGGTGACCTGTGGCATCATGACTTTTGGGGTAGCAAACTCAGCAGCAATACCAGTCATAAGTCGTATCGACCACTAACTGTCCTAACTTTCAGGTGAGACTTGGTCTTTTTGCTCGAGGTCTGAATTTTTTTAATATATATTGGCTCAATTGATTATAGGGAGGAGGCAACAGAAAAGGAGACAAAGTATCTGGAGGGTAGTTGGATACCTTTCCTGAATATGATTTTCCTGTTCATTACCTTCATCTCAAACTGAGTTTTAATTTTCAAATTGTTTCATTCCCAAAGTATACATTATTTTGACATTCTGTGTTTCAATGTACCTTTCAGAGATTGCATCTTATTCTTTTATATACCTTGGTGCTAGGAGCAGTATGGTTCAGCATGTAGGTCACATCATCAAAGAACTAGCAGGTGCACATTCCCTTCACTTTGCCATGCTGCCACTCAGACAGCTATTGTAGTTTCTGTTCTCTGCTTTCCTGGTGACCTGTCAAATGATTATTTTTTTTTTATAAATAGCATCAATCTACTGTGGCCTTTTGCCACTAGGTCACTGAACAGTCTTCCCACCTTTTTCCCCCTGATATTCAAACTTCAAGTGAGTGTTTGTGTCGAGAATCCTAGTGAGAGAGATGTCTGCCTGTATATATAGCTTGCTGGTTTTCTCAAATGACTAAAGGTTTATGAGGATTACTTCTGTAGATGCTTAGCTCATGTGTTTTGCACAAAGATTTGAGCAAGCAGTAGACCATGTAGAAATTGGGCATAGTAATGCAGAGAATCTTTGAGGACTCAGTCTTAAGCTTCTTTATTTTCTCCATGCAACTCTGTTGTGGATGGGGACCTGGCACTGGTTCTGCAGTTGTGACTGGTCTAAGCCAGGGACTAAGCGATTGTGGAAGAAGCGCTCCCACTGTTAGCCCTCATATTCAAGCAAGAACTTTGAATCTTGAGTGCAGTGTCAGTGCTTTAAGTACTTAGCACTGTGGGTTTCGCTGTCTGTTGGGCTTTCTTCACATATTCATCAAGGAAAATATGCAACTGAATAGAATGTGTCAGAGTCTTAAACCTATTAAAGCTTTCAGTGCATTACACAGCACATGCTTTCCTTTCTTTTCAAGGTCTCTGTGGTATATTCCATCTCTAGTAACATCCTAGTTAGTTTAAAGAGCGAACTGGGATGCAGTCATTACTATATCAGAAAATATAGATGGGCATGGGGAGATGGTCCATAAAATGCAATTTTCGCAAGTAAGAAATTGGTTTTCTTAATTTCCCTAAGCTCCAACTTTTATGTGTATCACATTTCTAATAGGTTAGGTTTTTTTAATAGATTTTACTTAAGCCAGATGCAGACTGACCAAATGAACTATATAAAATCCCCTATCCAAACTAAGTTTCTCTATATCTCGCCTACTGATAAAAGTATATCAATAATAACAAGAAGTTTCTCCCTTTTCTTCTCCCTCTCCATTTTACTGCAGAGTTCCTATCTTGAATAGGGTTTTAGACTGAGTTTTCACTTATACTTCCTTCTGGTTCTAATACTTGCATGAAACCTCTCTCTAGCCAGTGTCATGAATTAATTACTAAGATACGCTAACTGACTATGTTCTGGATTGATACTGATTGTACCCAGATGGTTTCCACATCGTTAGTCCAAACGTTAGGACATTTTTCAGCTAGAATGTCAGTGGAAATCATAGTCTCAGTGTGTATTAGTTTCCTCACTGTGTGGATTTAATTAAAATAATTTCTTCAGGTTGTTTTTGCACATAGTTTCTCTTAAGCCCAAAGGAATGCCATCAGTAGGCTGAGTTGTTTATCCGCAGGACACTTCTGCATTGCAACACTGAAGTTATGTTGCTGACCAAAAGCCAGTTCTAAGTAACCATAGGTACGATTAACATAATAGCATTAACATATGTCTTTGGACAGGATAGATATGCTGAATATGGTATCCCATATGAATACCTTAGAGTAAAGATCAGGACATTGTTTCTAGCTGACTGTGGTGCCTAAGTGGTAATACCCTGCGTGCTGGGGTTTCCTGGTATTTTTCAGCGTGGTGGTTTTTTTTTTTTCTCTGTTTACATATCTCTAACCATTGATGTAATTTCTAGCCTTAATGTTTTTGTTTCTAAATAGAATTAATTACCTTTTTGCTGGAGGCTTCTACCCAGTTGGTTTCCATGTCATCAATATCATACTGCATTGTACTATCTCAGTGTTGATGGTTGATGTGTTCTCGATATTATTGGGTGGACTGCAATTCAGTAATAAAGGAAGAAGGCTAAACCTGGCTCCAAAGACATCTCTTCTAGCTGCTTTACTGTTTGCTGTACATCCAGTGCACACCGAATGTGTAAGTACTGAATAATTAGCTCCAATGATTTATATTTTAGAAGTTCTTGACTGTCTTGAGTAATGAATTCTGACATAGCTTTATACTCTACACATTGCTCTTATATATTCTTAACGCTTCTCTTGGCACATGTCTTATGAGAATAATCGGGTATTATGGTTAGTACGTCCAAAAGCTTGTAATTCTACAGGACTGGACCTTATTAAGGGAGATAAATTAAATCGCTGAAGTACCATAACTAAAAAAGGATAGCCCTAAACTACAGAGTTTCTCTAATTACTGGATTAAGAATTCATTACTGGAAACATTAGCTCAAGAACAGCCAAGAAGAATGGAAGATAAACTGAATGCAAACGCATTACCACTTTTCATTTCCATTTGCTTTGATAAAAAACCCAAGGAGATAGAAAATTGGAGGAGGGGCATGATACGAACTCTGTATGTGACTCTTAGAATACTGCATCCAGTTTTGAATGCATGCTACAAGGAGGATACTGGGAAAAATGGGAGAGGGCTCAGAAGAGCCATGAAAATTATTAAAGGCCTGGGAATCATCCCATGTCATGACAGAGCAAACTCCGTGGGTTTATATTTTTAATATGAAGGAGAAGATTAAAGGATTTTTATTTTTTTTTATCCCAGTCTGTAATTATGTACATGGGGAACACAAATATGATAGTAGTGGGCCCTTCAATAGTGCAGCCGAAAGTGTAACAGTGGCTGGAAGCTGAATCTGTAAAGATACAGAATAGAAACATGGCACATGTGTAGCAACCAATTAAAATACCTGACCAAAGATCAAAGTCCTTGTGTGGAAATTCTAGTGAAGAGGAGATGGTTTTCATGAAAAGCTCTTTTGCACTCATAGCTAAGAAAATCCTATAGCCTTAAACCGGTCGGCTTGCTGGATGTGGTCCCTGATTGCTTGATCTTGTAATAATGAATAAATGAAATATAAAATAACTGCAATGCAGGCATCACTTTTTTAGAGTTTGGAAGGACTAAGCTACTGAAAAAGTACTAACTTTAACTTTGATCTTTGTGCTAGTAATGAACACTGAATCCTCAGTGCACCTTATTCTGTATATGTGGCACCGATTTTTTCTTTATTCACAATATGTCATGGGTTTGGCTTTCTTCATTTGCTTTGCACATGATTGATGGGGAGGAGCTTACAGAAAGCTATGCCTCTTGGCTGGCTGGGGACCCTGCATGTACTGGAAACCTAGAAATGGTGCAAAGTTATGTATTAGTAATTTGGCACCTTTTTTGGCAATGTGGCTAAAACATCCTGCTGATCATTCTCTGGTGTTTGCTCGCCTGCAGAATAACTTCTTTGTGAAAGTGTGTTGTGCTAGTCTCAGAAGGGCCCCTTGTATTTGTTCTCCAAAACGAGTTCTAGATGTTGAAGTGGAGTAAAACAAGTCTTCAGTGCTTTTGATGTTCTGACATGTAAAAAGAAATCTCATTTGAGTCTTAACATTGTAATAGATCTACTATTGACTCCTTTATCAATATCCATAATTTTATTCTTCATTCCATTTTAACTCTAAAAATATATTTAAATCAACAGACGAATGTTACTAAGATCTTGGTCATGTCAAATAAATTACGAGTGATGCATATTCAAGGTCTGAAGACCTGTGTATGCCTGGGGCAAACATTGGAAGAAGAGGAAAAAAGTAGCATGCTTACATATCATGTCTCTTCTAAGATCCAGGAGTGAACAAAGGCCTCTAATCGTTTACACAGTGAATAATAAATCTTGCTTGCACTGAAGCAGTCATGATACTGCTATGGTTCTAGCATAAGTGTGTGTCAGGCAACATCTCCTCAGAAAGCATTCGTCGTGATTTTAAAGCTGTGAGTTTTAAGTATCATGAGATCTGGTTTTGAAATGAGATGACATATTTTGACATAAAATTGTGAAGAATCTGTCTGTTTGCTGCTTTGGATTTTCGTATACACAGCACAAAACAATCTGTCATGTAAAACAGATCTTGAAAAGTTTAATGCTTTCAGTACCTGTGTAAGAAAAACATCTGTCATTATCATTTTTCTACCTAGAAGTAAACACTCTTATGGTGTAGTTTTCTCTTCTAAAAAATGTTTATTCTTTGTAACACTTGAGTGATGAAATACTAAATGGAACACGGACATAAGAGTATGCCTGATACGAACTTAAGACTGTATTTTTTTTGTTTACCTTGTAACCAGAGACTATAGGTCTGATCCTGCATTGGAGATAACATTGTACTGTTGGAGTCATCTGAGGCCATATGTGTGTTATTAGCCCTATAATCTCTTTGTTGTAACAAGTTGGCATTTATTTTCAAAATTGTGTCAGTTCACCTTTTATCTCATTAGCTGAGAGCAGCTCCTGAAACAGAATGATGCATCGTTATTTTCACCTTTCAAAGCACTCCACAGCTATTAAGTTAATTCTCATAATTCCTCTATAAGTCAGAAAAAGAAGCAGGGAAGTTAGATGCATGGCTTTAGATAAATCAAAAAGGTTTTCTGAACTGAATTTAGGAGTCCAACAGTTTCTGCTTTTATGGTTAAGTGAAGCTGAGAGTAAAGAGGGAGAGAGTCTTCTCAGTGGATTTGGTCCTACTCTCATACCTCTACACTTCTATTTCTGTCTCTGATGTGATTTAGAAATAGTTGTTCCATTGTGTCAGACTGACACAAAAAAAGGCCCTTTTCTTAAGAGATGGTTAGCAGGTGCCTTTAAGCAAAGTGAAGATAACAATTAATCTTTTTATTTTCCTCTTTCTGTTCCACTGACAAAATGGGACAACTGGTGTACTATACAGGAACCAAAGTTTCTGCTTTTGTCCCTGAAACATCACCTCAAAAAGTGGATTTAGAAAAAAAACACCACAACTTGTAGCTGTTCTGCCCTGCTTCAGAAATGCCTCTGTGTACATATGCTCCTGGAAACATGGAACCCAGGACTCCAGGAGGTAGAGCTAGACGGGAAAGTAAGGGGTGTTTCCATGATCCTTGCTGTGGCTGTATGTTCTAGTGGGGTCCCAACATCAGGGCCTGTACAGTCCCCTGCCAATGCCCTGTGTCGTGATTTCCACAAAAAATTCATGGTGTATAGTGACACTTGTGTAATTGAGGAATGAAGATCCAAAAATATGTCATGCTGTGTCTCAGCATGTTATTGTAAATACAGTTTAAGGGCTTGAACCAAAGCTTTTTGGTGACCCTGAGAATGCTGTTGATGAAAATAGGCTGGCACAGATCTGGAGTACAGAGGTCCTAGAATGCACTTCGCATTTTCTCTATGTTAGTACAGCTTCTGTTACAAGATGCTTTTGGAACTAGCTCTAATGCAATCAATTAATATAACAAAAAAAACTGCCAGAGGGGTGATTTTTTTAATTATTTTTTAATTATGCCCCCGCCCCCCCGCCCCCGCAAGATTCTGCAGGCTGGAAGCTATTTGTCCGTTCTGAGTGTTCAGATTACAATTTGAAGGCTGGCTTGTCTTCTGGAAGTGAACAATCTTGATTTGCATTTCAGCAGAGCTGCCAATTTTGTTTGGGTTCAGGATGTTTGCTAAAAGTTCTACTGAAAGGCAACCTGATCCAAAAAAACGGATGGAATCGGGCAGAATCTATGTTTTATTCAATGAGGTCCTTCTTCATTTCTTAAAACAGCAGTTTTTCATACATTAAAGCCACATCATTTACCTAATTGATACTAAGCAATACCCAATCCAAATTAGGATGTGGCTCAGAAAACTGAGTATCATTAATCCAGTAAACCAAGTTAAAAAAAACAAAAAGGTGATACAGTGATATTCTTTTATACATTTCACTTTGTATATGTGTGTGTACCTTTATCTCAGGTTTTCTAAGAATAAAATCTGGTAATCTGAAACTTTTTTTCTTTTTTTTAAGGTTGCTGGCATTGTTGGCAGAGCAGACCTTCTGTGTGCCCTGTTCTTTTTGTTGTCATTCCTTGGCTACTGTAAAGCATTTAGAGAAAGTAAGCATTCTGTTTACCCCTTTAATTTTATATTGTGTGTATTTTCTGCATTCATACATTTCAGTGAAGTATAGCAAAACTAAAAATGTCAGATTGATGTGGTTTGAATTTATTAATGTTTATACCTTCATAAAATATTTTAAAAAAAAACATAACACAACACCAAACAAACAACCTGCTTTAGCAGGTATTTATTATTAGAAGAGCTGGAAGGGTTGTTGTCCGTAATTCCCGTTAAAACACTACAAATTTTATTTAAGAAATGTCTGTTTTATAATAGGCTTATTTGTTAAATGTTTTATTGTTTAGAAGCATAAAGAAATATTTTAATAAGTATTTTAGAAATAAATCAAACCTATAAATATATATTCTTAAATATTTTAGTACACTTTATACCACTATGCTAGGACGACTTAAATGGGAATGAACTTTAGGATCCTTGTTTTTATTTTTTAATGAATTGTAGAGAATTATTTGTATGAGTAAGCACTCTAAAGGCCTGCAATATGCAAATGCTGGCATGTACTTGCTGAATATAGTGTTACTCATAGAGTTTTTGCAAGACAGCTGTATTTAACATGAACAGTTCCTTCGTAGATGTTTTTTCAAGTGAGCTTTTACATCTGTTGTATTATTTGATCTGAATGCAGGTTGGCAGTTCAAATACAATTGTGGAGGGATTATCTTGGGTCTCTGTCAAATAAACACATGAGAATACCTGAATTCATGATTATGAAAAACTATACAGGACTTGTAATCTGGTGTCTGAATGTGCCCCACCACAGGAAATATGGGAATCATTTGGGGAACCCATGTGGAGCTGTGTTCTGAAGAGCTTGTATAATACCAGTTCAATAGGCATGGCCTGTGATGTTTAACTAGGGTTGGCAGTGTATTACAGAGGTACCTGAGCTGGCTTTAGGTGATCTAGCTTAACAACATAGTCGTGGCATCGTAGAGTTTAGTGTAGGCTGAGGGGGGTGAGTTAGTCTACAGTGAGCTCTAAGATGCTGTGAATAGCTCCTGCTAATTGAGCTTAGATTGTTTAGAACTATTTTGCCTATTTCTACAGCTGATATCATAAGTTAACTTAATCTTTGCCACTTCAAATGATACTTGTCATGATTCCTGTTTGCTTCTGATATTTTTTTCTCCGCTTTGAGTAGGTTTCATTTCTTTCAACTGTACTAAATTGTGATGAAAATTGGCCTTGAAATCTTGCTTGCTCATTTATTCTTTTCTCACTTATTTTACTGGGTGTGATTGTGCTTTGATGTTTCTTCTGTTAGTGCCAGAGTAAATTAGACAAATCAAAATATTGGCTATGTGCTTTCCAGTTTGTTGGTACAGGTAGACCTATATGGCAGGGGTAATAATCTTTGCTTGAAGAACTCAAGAGCCAAATTCTTAGGATGACCATTGGAGACCTTTATATAGGACTCTGTAATTACTTTGTTGTGGAGGACATCTCAGGAATGATTGAGAACGTGATGTGTGCTCTGGTTAGGGATATTCTGAGTGCTTGTACAACCTGTGGAGGTCAGTTTGATAGCTTTTAGAAGTCAGTGTCATTTTAATAGTATTCTTGTATTGAAATCCTTGTCATTGATACAGAAGAAGGAAAGTGTTTTGAAGGCAAGATACTAAGCAGCACTTAGTATTTTTTATTGGACTTTACATCATAATAGGGTCAGAGCTGTGTTGCTTAAGCAGATTTGCCAAGGAAAGCTACAGTCTGCCAGCATAGTTGTGCCTTTTGTCTTTCAGAACAGTTTTCAATGTTTACTGTCACCTTCAATGCCTGCTTTTCTCTCCACGACTTCTTACAGAAATTTAGACTTTCTTTGAACTCAAGAATTTGTATCCAAGTTACATACTTGGGTCTCTCTCAACAGTTTCCTCATGTTGGGTAGCTTGGTGACAATTTCAGGTTCTTGCAGATCCTATCTGGCATGTCCTAAATGAGAAAATAAGTTATTTCCAGCACTGTGGAGAGCACTAGTAAGTTCTTTAGCAGATCTTGCATGGAACCTGAAGGGAGGAGCCCAAGCTTCAGAGTATTTCTTTCCCCTGAACCTTATATGATTTGCTGCAGGCTGATGAGCAATGTGCCAAAACCCAGACATTTCAGAGTCAAGGTTTCAGGTCAGAATGGTTCTGCTCTGAAAACTGATTTTGAAATGCCTGGGTGAGATTCATAGCTCATCCTGGATGTGCCTTGCTGTGAAAATCACTCATTTGTAAATAGAAAGGTGGGTGAGATAGAATAGAATAGACTATTTCAGTTGGAAGAAACCTACAATGATCATCTAGTCCAACTGTCTGACCAATTCAGGGCTGACCAGGAGTTAAAGCATGTTAGGGGCATTGTCCAAATGACTCTTAAACACTGACAGACTTGGGCATCAACCACTTCTCTAGGAAGCTGGTTCCAGGGTGTGACCACCCTCTCAGTAAAGAAATGCTTCCTCATGTCCAGTCTGAACCTCCCCTGGCGCAGCTTTGAACCATTCCAATGGATCCTAGCACTGGATTCCAGGGAGCAGAGCTCAGCACCTCCCTCTCCATGTCCCCTCCACAGGAAGCTGCAGAGGGCCATGCGGTCGCTCCTCAGCCTCCTTCTCTCCAAACTACACAAGCCTATGAAGTCCTCAGCCGCTCCTCACAGGACATGCCTTCCAGCCCTTCAGCAGCTTTGTTGCACTCTGGACACATTCAAGGACTTTCACATCCTTCTTAACTTGTGAGGCCGAGAACTGCACACAGTGCTTAAAGTGAGGCCGCACCAAGGCTGAATACAGTGGGATGATCACCTCTTTTGCCCAGCTGGTTGTGCTGTGTTTGATGCACCCAGGATGGGGTTTGCCCTCAGGGCTGCCAGGGCTCACTGCTGGCTCCTTTTGAGCTGCTGCTGACCAGCACTCCCAGATCCCTCTCTGCAGGGCTGCTCTCCAGCTGCTCCTCTCCCAATCCACGCTTGTGCCCAGCATTACTCCATCCCACGTGCAGAATCCAGCATTTCGACTTGTTAAATTTCATCCCGTTAATCATAGCCCAATGCTCCGATCTATCTGGATCCCTCTGCAAGGCCTCCTGTCCGTCAAGAGAGTCAACAACACCTCCCAGTTTGGTATCATCAGCAAACTTCCTAATGGTGCATTCAACTCCTGCATCCAGTTCATTGATAAAGATATTGAACAGAACTGGCCCTAGGATTGAGCCCTGAGGAACAGCGCTGGTGAGTGGTCACCAGCCAGATGTAGCTCCATTCACTACAGCCCTTTGAGCTCTGCCCTTCAGCCAATTCTTCATCCAGCGCACAGTGAGCCTGCTTATCCCACAGCTGGACAACTTTTCCAGAAAGATGCTGTGAGGGACGGTATCAAAAGCCTTACTAAAATCCAGAAAAACTACATACACTGCCTTCCCTTCATCCACTAGGTGGGTGACCTTATCATAGAAGGGTATCAAATTAGGTAAATAGGACTTTCCCTTTGTGCACCCATGTTGACTCTGCCTGATACACTTTAAATGCCTTTCAATAGCACTCAGTATAATCTTCTCCATAATTTTTGCAGGAACTGAGGTTAGACTAACAGGTCAGTAGTTCCCTGGGTCTTCCCTCACGCCCTTTTTGTAGACTGGAATAACACTGGCTAGCCTCCAGTCAGCAGGGACCTCCCCAGGTTCCCAAGACCTTTGGTAGATGATTGAGAGGGGTCCTGCCATAACATCCGCCAGCTCCTTCAGTACTCTGGGATGAATTCCAGATTGTCTCCACCACCAGCATCCCTACAAACTTGACCTCCAGCTTTATAAGCCAGCTGCGTTTCACCTTGTGTCCATTACGTATGTGTTATTCTCAGGCTTTAGTGGCTGAACCTTTAGGAGGTTTCCTTACTTTGTCACCTTAAGCATCAACTTGGGCATGCAACTTCAAAGCCTTTTCTCCCTGCTCCTTCTGTGTAGTCACTGGAAAGAAACAGATTCCTTTTCATAGCCTGTCAGAGGAATAGCTTATCGTAGGCACTTGCAGTCAGCTTCTAGAGGTAACAAAATCTCTCAGTTGTGTAGAAGCTTAGGAAGACAAGGCTTGTAACTTAGACTGCATTTCCATTGTCACTTCAATTGCACAGAAGTGCAGGCAGCTGCTAAAATGGAGCAATCTAGCTTCCTTTTATCATAGATGATAGAGTGAATTAGGTTGGAAGGAAACTCTGGAGGTGATCTCTAGTCCAACAGCTTAAAGCAGAGTTAGCTTCATTGATCAGATTGCTTGGGGCCTTAGCCAGATGAGTTGTGAGAATCTTCAGGGATGCTGGGGTGGGGGCAACACGTGACCAATCTGCCTCAGCCTCTTTTCCTACGTTATGTTCTTCAGCCTCCTAACCATCTTAGTGGTTCTTTACTGGACTTGCAGGTTGTTGATGTGTTTCTTGTGTTGGACACCATGGTGAACACAGTACTCCTGGTGTGGCCTCATAAGAGCTCAGTAGAGAGGAACAAGGACCTTCCCTGACCTGCTGGGTATGCTGTAGCTAGTACAGCCCAGCATGCATTTAACCTTTTTCATTGCTGCAAAGGCATGCTCCTGACTCACCTTCAACTTATCGACAGGAACTCCAGACCCTTTTCTGCAGAGCTGCTGCCTAGGCAGTCCCTAGCCTGGACTGTTGCATGGTGCTGTCTTTGATTTTCATGAGGCTTCTGTCAGCCCATTCCTCCAGCTTGTCACGGTTCCTCCATACAGTAGTCCTGTTCTCCACTGTACCCAGGTATCCTCTAGTTGAACCCTATCAACCACCACAACCGGCTTTACTTTCTGCATTTGCTATAATTTTTTTCCTTTGGGAGGGGAGAGTGGTCCAACCTGCAACTGTTTGAACATTAAAGTCTGTATAGGAAAGGGCAGCTACAAAGAGAATGAAGGCTCTCTCTTCACAAGGAGCCACATGGAGAAGACAAGGGGCAATGGGTACAAATTACACTGGGAGAGGTTT